ATATAGGGAATAGGGTGCCATTCTCTGGTCTAAAGTAGTGCACTATATAGGGAATAGGGTGCCATTCTCTGGTCTAAAGTAGTGCACTATATAGGGAATAGGGGTGCCATTCTCTGGTCTAAAGTAGTGCACTATATAGGGAATAGGGTGCCATTCTCTGGTCTAACGTAGTGCCACTATATAGGGAATAGGGTGCCATTCTCTGGTCTAAAGTAGTGCACTATATAGGGAATAGGGTGCCATTCTCTGGTCTAAAGTAGTGCACTATATAGGGAATAGGGTGCCATTCTCTGGTCTAAAGTAGTGCACTATATAGGGAATAGGGTGGGTGCCATTTGGGACACAAGCAACCTTTGTCACCAGGAATCAGGGTTCATCTGTAAACCTCAAAGCGTATTCCTATATTTTGGTAAACAGCTCAACCAGACAGTAGATGATCATTCTCCAGCCTCCCCTGTAGAGAAGCCGTTTTCACCTTTCATCCCAGGCCTGACTGAGTGGGACGTTATCCCCACTGCCACTGACAGCTTGGACCTCCTTAGACGGAGCGGCATCCCAGGCCTGACTGAGTGGGACGTTATCCCCACTGCCACTGACAGCTTGGACCTCTTTAGACGGAGCGGTCACCTCCTTAGACGCTCTCCTTCTGGACTCCTTTTTTGTTTGCTGTAAAAGGACAAGAGAAGATTTCATCCTAACAGTCATAGATAACACGGAGGCTTCAATTTAGTATTATAGACCCAGTACAGTAGTATAGTTTAGTATAGTTTAGTATATCGGCCCACACTGTCATCTTGAGTTACACTGATTCATTAAACCACACACGTTATATAGGCTACTAGTCTGTGGTTTAGATAAATACTGAGTAAACAAAACAATGGGTTATATATGATATATATGGGGCGGCAGGTAGCTTAGTGGTTTAGAGCGTTGTGCCAGTAACCGAAAGGTCGCTGGTTCTAATCCCCGAGCCGACTAGGTGAAAGATCTGTCGATGTGCCCTTGAGCAAGGCACTTAACCCTAATTGCTCCTGTAAGTCGATCTGGATAAGAGCGTCTGCTAAATGACTAAAATGTAAAATGTAATCCCACCACTCCTGTTTGTACTGATTGTCAGGACATTGTCAAGAGACTGATTTTCACCGATTATGACCATCATCATCTGATTGTCAGGAGACTACCCATTTGGTATGGACATACAGTGAGGCCTACATCGTGGCAGGACCACCGGTGGCTGGGTCCAGAGCTGGTGAGGGTCTGGTGGTTGGGTCCAGACCTGGTGAGGGTCTGGTGGTTGGGTCGAGAGCTGGTGAGGTTCTGGTGGTTGGGTCCAGAGTTGGTGAGGGTCTGGTGGTTGGGTCCAGAGCTGGTGAGGGTCTGGTGGTTGGGTCCAGAGCTGGTGAGGGTCTGCTTCCCACACTGGGTCCCTGTGGTCACCATCATCCTCTTCTCTTTCTGAATGCCCTCAAGCCCTTTACCTGAAGAAGAAGAAGAAGAAGAAGAAGAAGAAGAAGAGAAGAAGAGAAGGCTGGAGGATGAATTCACCTTTCAGCAGGACAATAACCTAAAACACAAGGCCAAATCTACCACGGACTTGCTTACTAAAAAGACAGTAAATGAGTGGCCGAGTTACAGTTTTGACTTAAATCTACTCGAAAATCTATGGCAAGACATGAAAATGGTTGTCTAGCAATGATCAACAACCAATTTGACAGAGCTTGAAGAATTTAGAAAATAATAAATGGGCAAATGTTGAACAATCCAGGTGTGCAAAGCTCTTAGAGACTTACCCAGAAAGACTCACAGCTATAATCGCTGCCAAAGGCGCTTCTACAAAGTATTGACTCAGGGGTGTGAATACTTATGTAAATTTGATATTTCTGTATTTAATTTTTAATAAATTTGCAACAATTGTAAAAACATGTTTTCCCTTTGTCATTATGGGGTACTGTGTGTAGATGGGGTTGACATCCAACAAACAAAATCCATTTAGAATTATTATTTTTTTTTTTGGTATTTAGCAGACGCTCTTATCCAGAGCGACTTCCAGTTAGTGAGTGCAGACATTTTCCATTCCCATGCACCTCTCGAATTCAGGTTGTAAAACAACCAATTGTGGAATAAGTCAAGGGGTATGAATACTTTCTGAAGGCACTGTAATGCCCCTGAACATGTACTTTGCTGACTAGGTAAATCACAGAGAAGTAGGGGATTACATATCAATACAAATTGGCAATAGTAGTGAGATTATTGCCTTTTGTAGTTTGACTGTAGTGAAAACAGAATGGGGCATTGAAAGGCTGACCATTTGTAACAGAGGTGGGTTGAAACCATCTTAACCACACAGTTCATAAGGGCCATCTCACCACACTGGTGTGAAGATGATTCTGCATACGGTATTACTTATTATTGACCCGTTTTTATCCAATATATTTAGACCAAATTGCCGCTGTTCACCATGACAATAAACATATACATGATTCACTCACTGCCTCAATAAAAAAGTATCGGTAAACTACTGCGGGTTTATACAGCAATATAATGGACAGCTTCAGGCAAGCTAAATGATAGCAGCTACCCAACCCAACCTGCGTATTTTTTCAGCATTAAATCCAGAATATTCTCCACAATCACGACACTTCTTACTGTTGATAGTGGAGAGAGCAGCCTCGGCGTCTGTATTGGTGAGCCATGTCGACTCGGTTTCTCGGGTCCAGCTTTCATGATACCTCGGTTCGATTATTGTGTCGGACCGGCTTCCTCCACAACCCATCAGAATATCATCCACGGCACCTCTCGCTTCAAAGTGTCAATTTTTACTGACACACAGCTGTCCACGAAATGCCCGTCGGATTCATCTAGGCTACAGCGTCTTCCATTCCTCCGTTGGTCTCTATCGCCTCTATCCACCACGATGATGCTTCGCTCTGATGATCTACGCACGGTGCGCTTCGCAGCACCGCATAGCTCACAGAATGGTTAGTGCTATCCCAGCCTGGTCTCATACACTAGACGTAACATAGTAGAAGTATATCCGGGACACTCAAATTATACTGAACAAAAATATAAACGCAACATGTAAAGTGTTGGTCCCATGTTCCATGAGCTGAAATAAAAGATCCCAGAAATGTGCCATATGCACAAAAAGCTTATTTCTCTAACATTTTTTATAATCAAATTTGTTTACCTCCCTGTTAGTGAGCATTTCTCCTTTGCCAAGATAATCAATCCACCTGACAGGTGTGGCATATCAATAAGCTGATTAAACAGCATTATCATTACACAGGTGCACCTTGTGCTGGGGACAATAAAAGGTCACTTTTATTGCAGTTTTGTCACACAACACAACGCCACAGATGTCTCAAGTTTTGAGGGAGCATGAAATTGGCATGCAGACTGCAGGAATGTCCACCAGAGCTGTTGCCAGATTATTGAATGTAAATGTCTCTACCATAAGCCACCTCCAACGTCGTTTCAGAGAATTTGGCAGTACGTCCAACCGGCCTCACAACCGCAGATCACGTGGAACCACGCCAGCCCAGGACCTCTACATCCGGCTTCTTCACCTGTGGGATCGTCTGAGACCAGCCACCCAGACAGCTGATGAAACTGAGGAGTATTTCTGTCTGTAATAAAGCCCTTTTGTGGGGGAAAACTCATTCTGATTGGCTGGGCCTGGCTCCCCAGTGGGTGGCCCAGTCTCCCAAGTGGGCGGGCCTATGCCTTCCCAGGCCCACCCATGGCTGCACCCCTGCCCAGTTATTTGAAATTAAGGCCTAATGAATTTATTTAAATTGACTGATTTCCTTATATGAACTGTAACTTAGTAAAATCGTTGAAATTGTTGCATGTTGCATTTATATTTCTGTTCAGTATAGTATGATATGTCACCTTTGGTATGGTTACATATAGCGTGAACATCTAGCAACCCAAAAGTTGCGAGTTCGAATCTTATCAAGGACAACTTTAGCATTTTAGCTAATTAGCAACTTTAACTACTTACTACTTTTTAGCTACTTTGCAACTATTTAGCATGTTAACTAACCCTTCCCCTAACCCTTTAACCTAACTCCTAAACTTAACCCTAGCCCCTAGCCTAGCTAACGTTAGCCAGCTAGCTAACGTTAGCCACCTAGCTAGAATTTGTAACATATCATAACATACGTATCATAACATATAACGCGAACGTCTAGCAACCCAAAGGTTGCGAGTTCCAATCTTATCAGACACAACTTAAGCGTTTTAACTCATTAGCCACCTAGCTAGAATTCGTAACATTATATGCTTTGTAAATTCATAACATATAATACGAATTGTAATTCATAACATATCATACGAAATTGGTGATGGACAGCCACAAATTAATACATACCATAGGAAACATAACATATCATACTAGATGAGGTGTTTCGGATTTACGTACAGAATAATACGACATGCTCTGAGACCAGGTTGACTAATCCTACCCTAAACTCTTACCCTAACCTTAACACCTACCCTTACCCTAACCCTTACCCAACCCTTAACCATTTTACATTTTAACTTCAATGGAGTAGGGACGTCCCAATGATCCCAGATAGTAAGGACCCTCACATAATCTGTCAAAATCATTAATTATGTAACGGACTTGTGTCATTAGAATTGCTTGAAAGGTGAATCGTTTCCTCAATGTTTCTCAGAGTTCAGTCCAGAACCGTGGACAGAAACCGCCCTGTTCAGCCCAAAATCCATTTCTGTCACAACTACTTGCATTGGTGCTTCTGAAATCTTAAGCACACAGTTCTACAGCATCAGAAGAGAGCATTACATACCTTTTATTTAGATATTTGGTAGATTGTTTTCAATTACTATGCATTGGAAAGTATTCAGACCCCTTGACTTTTTCCACATTTTGTTACGTTACAGCCTTATTCTAAAATAGATACAATTGTTTTTTTTCTCATCAATCTATACCCCATAATGACAAAGCAAAAACAGGTTTTTAGAAATGTTTGCAAATGTATTAAAAATAAAACTGAAATATAACATTTACTTAAGTATTCAGACCCTTGTTGAAGTATTCAGTACTTTGTTGAAGCACCTTTGGTAGCGATTACAGCCTAGAGTCTTCTTCGGTATGATGCTACAAATTTGATTTGACCTTGACACACCTGTATTTGGGGAGTTTCTCCCATTCTTCTCTGCAGATCCCCTCAAGCTCTGTCAGGTTGGATGGGGAGCGTCGCTGCACATCTACTTTCAGGTCTCTCCAGAGATGTGCCCTTTACTGAGGAGTGGCTTCCATCTGGCCACTCTACCATAAAGGCCTAATTGGTGGAGCGCTGCAGAGATGGTTGTCCTTCTGGAAGATTCTCCCAACTCCACAGAGGAACTCTATGCAGAGCTGCAAAGAAAAAGCCATATCTCAGACTAGCCAATAAAAATAAAAGATTAAGATGGTCAGTCTGAGATATGGTTTTTTCTTTGCAACTCTGCCTAGAAGGTCAGCATCCCGGAGTCGCCTCTTCACTGTTGACGTTGAGACTGGTGTTTTGCGGGTACTATTTAATGAAGCTGCCAGTTGAGGACCTGTGAGGCGTCTGTTTCTCAAACTAGACACTCTAATGTATTTGTCCTCTTGCTCAGTTGTACACCGTGGCCTCCCACTCCTCTTTCTATTCTGGTTAGAGCCAGTTTGTGCTGTTCTGTGAAGGGAGTAGTACACAGCGTTGTACGAGATCTTCAGTTTCTTGGCAATTTCTCGCATAGAATACCCTTAATTTCTCAGAACAAGAATAGACTGACGAGTTTCAGAAGAAAGTTCTTTGTTTCTGGCCATTTTGAGCCTGTAATCGAACCCACAATTGCTGATGCTCCAGATACTCAACTAGTCTCAAGAAGGCCAGTTTTATTGCTTCTTTAATCAGTTTTCAGCTGTGCTAACATAATTGCAAAAGGGTTTTCTAATGATCAATTAGCCTTTTAAAATGATAAACTTGGATTAGCAAACACAACGTGCCGTTGGAACACAGGACTGATGGTTGCTGATAATGGGCCTCTGTACGCCTATGTAGATATTCCATTACAAATCAGCCGTTTCCAGCTACAATAGCCATTTACAACATTAACAATGTCTACACTGTATTTCTGATCAATTTGATGTTATTTTAATGGACAAAAAAATTGCTTTTCTTTCGAAAACAAGGACATTTCTAAGTGACCCCAAACTTTTGAACGGTAGTTTATGTAAATAAGGTATTGTTTATTTTTTATTTTTATAAATATGCAAACAATTCTAAAAACCTGTTTTTGCTTTTTCCCTTATGGGGGGATTGTGGTGTGTAATTGATGAGGGAAAGGAAAAGAGAGAGAGAGAGAAAGAGAGAAGGAGAGGGAGGGGATAGGAGGGAGAGAGAGAGGAAGTCCAGCGGGGGCGAAGTCGCGAGGATCCGTTCTTTGTTCGCTCTTTCTCTTTCTCTTTTACTCCCTCTCTCCCCTCTCTCTCGCCTCCTTCTTTCCTTTTTCCCCCTTTTTCTCTTTCCTCTTTCCCTTGCTCTTTTCTCTCGCTCCTTTTTCCTTCTCCCCTCCCTCTTTCTCTTTCCGCTCTCTCTCTCTCTCGTTTCTCTCCTCTCTCTCTCTCTCTCTCTCCCTCTTTCTCTCTCCTCTCTCCTCTCTCTCTTTTCTCCTCTCCTCGCGCGCTCTCTCTCCTCTCTCTCTCTCTCTCCTCTCTCTCTCCTCCTCTCTCTCTCTTGTCTCCTCTCTCTCTCCTCTCTCCTCTCTCTCCTCTCTCCTCTCCTCTCCCTCTGCCTTGCGTGTCTATCTTCTCTCCCCCTCCCCCTTTTCTGGGTTTTCTCTTTCTTCTTTGTTTTCCTTGTTTTTCAGCGGAGTTTGTTGGGTTTTATTACCCCACAGTCGCTTTGGGTGGTTTGGGGACGGTGTTTTCATACCTGGAGAAAGTGTTCCGGAACGGAAGTTTTGTTGGGGTTTCAACTTCATTTTCCGCTGCCAATCTCGTCCTCTCTTGTTTAGGTATTCATAAGGCAGTACTCCTCTGGCTCGGTTTTAACCTGGATGTCCTAGTGGCCTGTTGGTCGGGGAAAAATTATACCCACCACATTCCCTTTTTTTAAGAGGGTTGTCAGGTTTTAAAATACATGTGAGGGTGTGGGTTTGGAGAAGTGGAGGGAGGGTTCTGTGGGTGTGTTACTATATGTTTCAAAAACTCATTTCTAATCCTTAAAAACCCTTGAGTTAAACAATTCTTTTTAGCTCAGGGATACATTTGGAATTCTTTTGAGTCAAGGGGCCTGTGGTTGGCTGAAACAATTGTTGTGGAAATCCATTCAGTATTTTTTAAATATAGGTTCTGAAAATACCACAATTTAGGGCTGCTGTCCGTTGACCCCTCATTCTAAATTTTTTTGTTGGGCTGCACAGCATGGTCTGGAAATTCACTCTGGGACCGTGAATAACATCCGGGCTCTGGGGACCCGGGAAATACATCCAGGCTCTGGGAGCACC